GCCCATAATAATTATTTTTTTATTCTTTTATTTATTTCTTATTTCATATTTTCATATTTTTTTATTATATAATTATATTTTTAACTTCTTTTTTTTATTATGTGATTATATTTTTAATTACTTTCTTTTATTATATAATTATATTTTTAATTACTTTTTTTATTATATAATCATATTTCTAATCTTTTTTTTATTATATTAATCTTTCTTTTATTATATAATTGTTAGTATTAATTATAAAATTTTAAATTAAAAATTTAATTTAAGTATAATAAATATTTTAATAAAAAAATTTATATATTATATATATATTATTAACTTTTACTAATATTTGATAATATTACTTATTATTAGTTAAGTACTATAAACTATTTTATTTTTATTTATATTATATTATTTATCTAAATTAAAAATCAATCTGTAACTTATAACTTATATCAAAAATAAAACTTATATTAAAAAATTTGAAATTAATTTAAGAAAAGTAATTAATTTAATCTAATATAAAATTATATAATATGTATAACTATATAATAAAAAAATAATAACTGATATATTATATATTTCTCTAATTAAAAATCTTTATTAATAAATATATAATAAAAATACATAATAAAATATAAGATAATTAATATATATTTAATTAATCATACTAATTTTTTAGCTAATTATTATTTATATTAAAACTTATTATTAAATTTTATTATTTAAGATATGCTGATTTACTTTTTGATAATAATAATATATTGATAATTATAATATTTTATAAAAGTAAATAAAATTATATTATATCTTTATTATTACTAGATTATATAAATATTTTTATAAAATAAAGATAGAAAAGATAATAAATTTTATAATTAATTAGCTATTATAAGTAACATAATAAAGTAATATAATAATTTAATATAATTATAGTACATAGTACAGTTATAGTACATAATATAATTAACAATCACCTTTAAATTAGAAATATAAAAAATTGATAATAATTAATTTAATTCTATTTTTAATTTATTTTATTATCTATATTTAATCTTATTCATTTATTAATTTAACTATGTATATTATATTTAATTTATAATTTTATTAGATTAATAATTTTCTAATTAATTATTATTAATTTTTCTTTTTTTAATTATAATTTTTTTAATATTTCACTAATTTTAATCTTTAATTACTTTATATTTAATTTAAAAAAGTTTTTTATAATAATTCTTTCAAGATTTTACTTATTCTTAAGTAAATTAAATAGAATATTGTATTAAGAATAATTTGTAATTAGTATAACAAGAAAATATTATATATAAAAAATCAAGAAGTGATCAAAAAGAATAATTAAGTTTGGTAAAAGTAATTAACAATTAAATAAGAATAGTTAATTAGTATTTTTTTATAATAAACATATATATTTATCATATATCTTATCTTCATTTTCTTTTTGCTCTATTAAGAGAGCATTTTATTAAAAATTAATACTTATATAAATTATCTTATTAAGAAGATAATTATCTTAATCTTTTAATATTAAAAAATAAATAATTATCATGAACATAATCATTATTATTATTTTAAATTACTTGTATACATACAAGCTTAAAATAGTAATAATCTTTTTAATACTCTCTTTATAGATAACAAATTAAAATTAAATTTAATATTGAATAAATTAATTCAAGCTAGATCTGATCATGCCAATAAATATTAAAATAAAAAAATAATATAAAAAATTAATCAATATTTTAATTTCATCTCAATTAGTCTAATTACAAATAAAAAAACTATGTTGATTAATCAATAACTTATTTTTAGCAGATATTACTAAGAAAAATAGTAAAATACTATTTACAATAATAATTACAAAAATACTTATCAAATAAGATAACTCATAATTTGTATGAAGAGATCACTATTTTTAATTAATAGAGATCACACTATACTTACCAATCAAGAGCTAGCACTCCAACCAGAACCCCATCCCAATTCCATCTTCATTCACCTCAGCTTTATCATCTAACACTTTCTTTACTAATCTTTTATACAGAAGACAGTCCAAGTCTAATCAAAAGATACAAAAGAAGAAGAGTTAGAAGTGGTTCAAACTCCTATTTTCAGATATATCATTTATTATTAATTCTTCAATAATATGTTTAATAAAATCTTATAAACGCCTCGACAAACTTTAATTTTATTGAAGTTTGAATCATTTAGCAGTGATTGTAGGAAAGGATTCACTTTGCTGAATCACATCTGTATGTAAAAACGGTGGACCTGATCTCGAGAACCAGGTGACGGATAAGGAAATATTTTTCATCTATAAAAAAATATAGATGTTGCTCGGAAAATTTTTTCTTGCCTCCTTTCTATATTTAACGTTACGTGCGCAACAAAGAAGAATACTTTAATAAATTAGCTAGTAAATAGATAATATTAATTTATAGACATATATTTATATAATATATAATAAAAAGAAATGTCTACGGAATACGCCGGTGCAATTGGTATTGATTTGGGGACAACGTACTCGTGCGTTGCTGTATGGGAAAACGAACGAGTTGGTAAATAATTTTGTAACTATTGTGTTTATGATCAAATTTATTCTAGATCCAAAAAGATAAGGAAATTAACCGCAAGTTTAATTTTTTATTTCCAATAATGAACACGCAATACAGAGATAATTGCTAATGAACAGGGTAACCGTACAACGCCTTCATATGTGGCCTTCTCAGAAAATGAACGTCTTATTGGAGACGCTGCGAAAAATCAAGCGGCCATGAACCCTAAAAACACGGTTTTTGATGCGAAACGTCTGATAGGTCGTCGTTTTGATGACCCAGAAGTTAAATCTGATATGAAACATTGGCCATTTACGGTCATTGAAAAAGACGGATCACCGCGGATCCAGGTTGAGTATCAAGGCGAACAAAAGAATTTCACGCCGCAAGAAATTTCTTCAATGGTGCTTTTAAGGATGAAGGTAATTTGATTAATTAATGGTTTTTATGACATAATGATTTTTAAATTGGTAAATTGGATTTGATTGTCTAATCATATCTTTGCATCTTGCGAATAATACATTAATAAATAGGAAATTTCAGAAGGAAAACTTGGCAAAAAAGTTAAAAAGGCAGTTATCACCGTACCAGCCTACTTTAATGATTCACAACGTCTTGCTACGAAGGATGCTGGATCTATTGCAGGTCTTGAAGTTTTACGTATAATTAATGAACCTACCGCAGCGGCCATTGCTTACGGTCTGGACTCGAAAGAATCACGAGAAAAAAATGTACTCATCTTTGACTTGGGAGGTGGCACATTTGATGTCTCATTATTAAAAATCACTGGTGGCGTATTCGAGGTAAAGGCGACTGCTGGTGACACACATTTAGGCGGCGAAGATTTTGACAATAACCTCCTTGAGCACTTTAAAATGGAGTTTAAGAGAAAACATAAAAAGGATTTATCAGAAGACGCGCGTGCCATACGTCGTTTAAGAACGGCATGCGAGAGAGCAAAAAGAACATTATCCTCATTGACACAAACCAGCATAGAAATTGATTCGCTATATGATGGTATCGATTTCCAAGCGAATATTACACGCGCCAAGTTTGAAGAATTAAATTCTTCGCATTTCAATTCTACTTTGGAACCTGTACGAAAAGTTTTAAAAGACGCCAAGATGGAAAAGAAAGACATCAACGAAATTGTGCTTGTTGGTGGATCCACGAGAATTCCAAAAATTCAATCTTTATTACAAGATTTATTTGACGGCAAAGAATTAAATAAATCCATTAATCCTGATGAAGCAGTTGCTTATGGAGCCGCTGTTCAAGCAGCGGTGCTTACAAATCAAGCTGGTAATGAAAAGACACAAGATTTACTATTACTTGATGTAGTGCCACTTAGTTTAGGAGTGGAAACGCAAGGTGGTGTGATGGCTGTTGTAGTTCCGCGCAATACTTCAATTCCCACCATCAAGAAAAAAGTCTTTACAACCGCAGAGGATGGTCAGACAATCGTAGAATTTCCGGTATACGAGGGTGAACGTCCAATGTGCAAAGACAATAATCTTTTAGGGTCATTCGAACTTTCTGGTATTCCACCAATGCCACGTGGTGAAGCAGAACTCGAATGTACATTCGATCTTAACGCCGACGGTATTCTAAAAGTCTCAGCAAAAGATCGAGCAACCGGACGAAAAGCAAATATTACAATCTCGAATTCCGCAGGTCGATTATCTGCGCAAGATATTGAACGTATGGTTGCAGAGTCAGAGCGATTCAAGGAAGATGATAAGAAAAGTCAAGAACGTGTCGAGGCTAAACAGGAACTTGAGAATTATGTGTACCAGGTAAGGCGGACATTATCATTATTATTATTGTCGTCGTCGTGATTATTAGATTAATAATCATTGAACATTGTGGTTAATTGTAAATTGGTAGATCGAGAATACGCTAAGTGAACCTAATGTTGCAATGAAATTGAAGATCAGTGATAAAGAATCAATTGATAATGCGCTTTCAGAAGCACTTGAATTTCTTGATATTTCAAATGACGTGTCAGTTGGAAAAGACGAGATAAATGCCGCACGAAAAAAATTACAACGCACAGTTACACGCGCATTTGCATCTCTGAATCGTTAAATAATAAAGATCGGTTATTTGGTGCGATTAGTATAACAATTAATGAATACCAATTCACGCTTGCAAATTTTGATGATTTCGACTTCTTGAACACTGCTACACACGCGAATTTTACATATCGAATAATAAATAATTTAATATTACTGATGTTATAGATGTTTTAATTTATTCAAATATTTTTGAAACAAAAACGATAATATTTATAATAATTATCAAATCAACACGGCAAAAATTCTATATAGACATACAGGAAATTATATATACATGTACGTGTGAAAGAAAATCTGACAATGAACGAATGAATCAAGTGAAAAAGTTTAATAGTATATTGGATTCTAAGCATTCATTTATTAAATTCTACGTGGAACCAAGTATTTGACGTAACAGTTCGTTCCTATAATTTTCGTTTGAGTCAAAAGATTGAATGAATCACGTGCAGAATTCCTCAATAAAAACTAAAATGAACATGTTATCAATGTCATCATACCTTCTTTTGAAATCAGATAATAATTCGTCTAAACCAAACATATTTGTCGAAGTTTGATCCATTTCTTCACGGTATGAGAATGGATTGGGTGATAATGCTAGTGTATCTGGCGGTCTAAAGAAAAAGTTAATATCATTCTCGCGAGTATCGTCCCGCATCATATTAAACCGAAAAATACATACTTCCCAGCCGACATTCCCTCAATAGTCAACATTAAACTCGCGGCAGGAGCCCCTCCACCCCCAGACTCTTTTCCACTCCCAAAAGTAGGCGTCGAACTAATTTTATAGTTTGTCACTTGAAAATTATGACTTTGCGAATGCACTTGTTTCACCGTCTCGCCGTCTTGCGCAAACTCCACTATTATACAGTGGTCCTTGGGCACGATGTGCGGAGGGAACGGCTCGTCTTCAAAGACATAGTGCACAAACGGATGTTTCCAGGATTGTTGTAGTTTGTCGTGGAGCACTACGAACTGGGGAATTGTTGAAGGTTGTGGTGGTAATGGCGATTGCGCTTTTGCTAGCGGTGGTTGAGCCTGTTGCATTGTTAACTCTAATTAGGTAAATGGAAATTTGAATATTCGAAATATTCGAAGATCACTGTATAAATAGCTTCAAGATTGTCCAATCAAAGGTGCAGAAATTTGTTTATAAAACCTGCTAAATTTTTTGATTACTCATTTTTATAATATTAACAAAAGAAAAAAAAAAATGAAAGCTTTCAGAGTTCTCTCAAAATATATACCACCGGTAAAACAAAAGACAAAGAAAAAAATGAGGCCAAGTAAAATGCCCAAAAGTAGTCTCGATAGCAGTGGACAATCCAAAATTCTTTTAGAAAATTTATCACCATCAAAACCATCAAAATCAAGAAGAAAAGAAAAAATGATACCAAAGAAAATAATGCCAGTGCCTGAATTACTGACAAAACAACCATATATACGTCCAATCGCCCCACCAGAAACATTATATCAAAAAGAAAAAGAGGCGGAACAAAAAATTTCTCAAGTATCAGAAAGCGTAGTATCGATGGCAAAAAAAGCAACCGCGAAGGAATTAGCGGAACATAGTTTTACTTATAACGAGAATGCGGATCGAGCTCGATTTAAGCATGAGCTTAAAGAATTGCGATTACAATATATTAAAGATAACGAAGCAAAACAAAAAGCCGAACGACGACAAAAGGATCGAATGGCTCGAAGAGAACAAAGAATGAGTCGACGACCTGTTATTTCTCGTATTGATACGACTCCTTCTAGATATCTAACATTTAAAAACGATCAATCTTCTGAAAACCCTACAAAAGAAGAAAAATCTTCTGAAAAACCCACGAAAGAAGAAAAAAAGGAAAAACTGGACATCGAAATTCGTAATATCATTAAACAATATACTGTCGATCCAGAGTTTGAACGGCAACATCAAGAAGTCCGTCGTCTACGTGACGCCGGTAACATACTTTCCCTCAGTTCCGCCCACGAATTTGATATGGATGCATATCGTGAACGCAAACGAGCACGCGCATTAGTCAACTATGAAAAACGAGAAAAAAGTTTACGCGAAAAACGGCTGTCACAACTAATTAAATTATATCACAACACTACAAGCTTCATCAGACTTGAAAACCTTGACGAGGTGGTGGATCGTGTATTCGCTAAAGATGCTGCACGAAAACCATTCATGGATTCGAGTTTACGCGATCTGCAGGTGAATTTGCGAGAAGGTGGTGGTGTGATTGATGGTGAACAGTTGAAGGAGAGGGTGGGCAGGATTCGCGATGTTTTGGAAGGAACTGTTCACGGTGGAAAAAATTTTGGATTATATAAACTAAGAAAATTCATAAATAATAATCCGAATTTATTTGAGAAAGATGATAGTAAAAACGAAAATCAAAAGATACTCCATCAAAATGTTTGGTAATTGTACGTTAAGTAGATATAAGAAAAGAACTTTATTAAATGTCCAATTGATTTTACAAAAGCATTTCTCCTGTCTATTTCATCTTATTCACTAAAAAGTATTCTTTCTGGCAAACTCAATAATAGATCGCGTGGGACGTCCTAAAATTAAAAAAATAATTTAGCTAGCTTTTATGACTAATTCTGAAATATATATTAAAGCAACACTTACCAGTCATGCCTTTAGTCGTATATCCCGAATCATCATTTGTATCCATAACACCCGCAATATCAATGTGGGCAAATCGAATTTTATCCGGAACAACATCCGTTTCTGCGGCTTTTTCTATATCATCGCCTTTGTCAGGATTCCTTGCCTCTTTTTCCTCTTCTACTTCTTCGTTATCATCATCATCCTCTTTCTTATCGTTTGCATCCTCTTCAAGCGAACCATACACAAACTCTTCCAAAAATCCAGCAGCCGAACAAGAACTACCCATCCTTCCGCTATTATTTACAATATCAGCGACTGTGGACTTTTTGATCTGTTTTTTGTAGGCAGGATGTAGTGGCATACGCCAGAATGGATCATGTGTAGTTTTGCCGGCGTTAGAGAGTTGTGTCCATAAACTTTCAGAGTTTGTGAATACACCGGCGTATACTAATTTTGATTCCGCTCGTTAGTACAGTAATCTGATATTTTGCTCATTTTATTAAGATAATTGATCACTCAACCTTCCCCTAGCGAGATTCCAATTGCTCCTGTCAAGGTAGCAAGATCAATCAGACTGTGCGGTTTATACGTTGAACTTGTATAATAAATAGCGTCAGCAAGAATCAAGCGACCTTCTGCATCCGTATTGTCAATCTAATAAAGACCAAAACCAACAAATAAAGAAAACGTAATAAATTACAACCAGAAAATAAAGTAATTAATACCTCAATCGACTTGCCATTCATCGCTTTAACAACGTCTCCTGGTTTTATGGCATGACCAGAAGGCATATTCTCACATAACGGAATGGAAGCGACTATATTTATGGGAACCTGCAACTTTGCTAGTCCATATAATGATGCTGCAACTGCCGCACCGCCACCCATGTCGCCTTTCATAGCTGCCATATTCTGTGAAGGTTTTATTGAAATCCCACCACTATTATAATAGAGAATATTTGAGTTCCAGGGATTAGATGAATTGGTGAACTGACCGAAAGAGAAATAGAAGGATTAATCGTTGCAGCTTACGAGTCAAAAGTAATACCTATCAGATATAATATAACATAATATAATATGAGAAACAATGAAAATTTAATCTTCTTTCCAAACTCTCAAACATAAAAATAGAAAGCATATATACCTTTGCCAACTAAAGCTAAAGGTTTTTCATCTTCTTTTCCACCTTTGTAATGAATCTCCAAAAACCGTAACGGTTCAGTAGACCCTTTGGCCACTGCCAAAAATGCACCCATATTGTTATTAATCGCCCATCCTTGATCTCGAACATGAATTTCAACGTTCTTTAAACCATCCAATTTCGATATTACATTCTCGACGAAAATCGAAGGTGTCATTAAATTTGAAGGAGTTTCGGCGAGATAACGCGCAAAATTTTGTGCGTCTGCATATATGAGACCAGTTTCCCACGTGAGTTCGGATAATTCTGATGATGGTGATTCGCCGTAACGTCCAAATTTTACTTCTGGTCTTTGGTTTTTCTTGGATTTCAGGCTATCATAACTGTATAATCCTAAAGATGCGCCTTCAGCTGCACCTAAAGATAAATTATATCTAAGGCATAAAAATATATAGTTTCTTACAATTGACGCGAGATAACTTCCTTCACGCACACCCACCATGTTCATGAGTCATTGGATCAACCCCAATAAATTTTGCTCCTTGTTCACGTAAAACTCTCACACCTATAGCAGCCTAAATTGCAGACATTCTATTATTAAAGTGTGGCAAGTTCAAATATTTCTCAGTCTTATAATATACATGCCGCATGCCGAGCCTTCTCCAGTGCTTCGCTCAAATCTACCTCTCCTTTCTCATCACTACTCTTTTTCCCCAATCCAACGACAGCAATCTGTTTCGGGACATTGCTAGACTCCTCGGCGATACCATAAAAAACACGAACTTCACCAAATTTTCCTTTTGCATTCGATAACTTTAAGTTTTGTCGAATAGTCTCTTGAGTACTCGATGGAATTTCTTTGGTGATTGTCTCCGCAAAGGAACCGTCCTTGTATGCACCGAGTACAAGTGCGTCGTAGTCTGTATTGGCATGGCGTGCCTTGGAGGTAGAAAAGGATCGGTTTAGTGTTTTTGAACTAAAGTAGGGAAGACGACGAAATGCGTGTCGAAACATTTTCTATTGCATGTATAAACGCGTACAACAATGAAAAATTTTTGAATGATATAATGATATTCATTTTCTATGAGTCATTTCAGAAGTTCTAGAACAATTTCGTTAAAACAATGTCTAACTCAACAACCGAGCCAGTTTGTCCTATCGACCATAGTTCTTTACCTAATAATAAATCCTCACTTCCTTCTACGACGTCAGATGTTCACATTTTTCCACAACAATCACAACAGCCTTCCGCATGTCCTGTTGACCATAATTCTCTTCACACTAACCCTTTTCTCAATAAACCTCTCGCCACTCAGCCGACGAACACTTCCACTTCAACGAAAAATGTAGGCTGTACAAGCGACACTATAATAAACCCATCCAACCTAATGCACGCAAACGAAAAACAAACTCCTATGCCAGGCCAACGCATAAGATTAGACACTACTCGTGAAATATCTAGTATTCCGCGCGTCGTTTCTACTAATGACAAACCTGTCGCAAACACAGAATCCGAAAGTGCACCAGAAGAAAAATCATGGGTTTATCCTTCAGAACAAATGTTTTTCAATGCCATGAAACGAAAAAATTGGCAACCGCGTGAAGAAGATATGCGTGTAATAGTGCCGATTCACAATGCAGTTAATGAAAAAGCGTGGCGGGAAATTTTAGAGTGGGAGAAAATTCATGCTGATAACAAGTAAGGATGATATATTCTTTCACATTTAAAATTCAACGTTTTTTTTTTTTAATAATCTGTTCGATTCAAAGAAAATGCGGTGGTCCAAAGTTAGTCAAATTCGAGGGTCGGGCGACGGCTATTACTCCTAAGGCAAGAATCCTTAGTTGGCTTGGGTAAGTGTATTGGTTTTTTTGGTTCATTCGTTTCATCATTTACCGTATAATTGTTTTCAATTTTCGCGTTTTTTTGGACACTCGTTCAGCTATAAGCTTCCATTCGATCGCCATGATTGGGTGATAGATCGATGTGGTAAGCAAGTTACCTATGTTATAGATTTCTATTCGGGACAACCAGATCTTAAGCAGCCTGAAAATATTAGTTTCTATTTGGATGTCCGCCCTGCGTTAACCTTGGAAGGGGCGTTTGATCGATTGTATAGATGGGCAAATTCATTAAAGTATAAATTAATACAATCATGAATGTATGCACATACACATGACCAATATAAAACGTTAACCAAAAAGGTTCGTCGATGAATTACCCGTTACCAAAAATTCACCATATTTGGAAGCTTATCGTTATTCATTGTCTTACTTGAAAAGCCAAAAATCGTGTTGATTGACGAACATCTACTATTACACAAACGGAGTTTCGAAACATGTAAAACAAAACTTGGATTTTATCGCTAAAAATTTAATTTTTATTCTTATTTGCTATTTAGAGACAGTAAATAAATATATTTAAGTGCTGCCTCATACTGATTCTTAAATACGTCGACACCACGCTTTTTCTTGTTTGCTTTCGTATTAAAAACACTTTACTCTCATAAAGTAATAGTAGAAATGGCAGATGTCTCTGATCCCATCATTCGTATGTATGAATTATCTTGTCACTATTTAAATAGAGTTAATTTTCGAGTTCTCCTCATTATTTGACGACAGGTGAAACTTATGACGAAGTAAGAGACGATAGAAGTGACGTTAGTTGGTCAGTGTTATTTGTTTTAGTGAATTAATACATTAAATCTCGTATTACAATTTGATTTCTATGTTAATAAATAAATTAAATCAATTTGACAACAAAGGATGATACTTCAATACGAAAACGATCGTTCCGACAAACTAATTCTCTATGCCAAAGGACCGGGCGGTCTATCACAATTAGCAGAACATCTGTCAGAGGATCAAGCTGCATTCGCGTATTGTCGTGTCAACGTGTCAAATGATGAATTGTCGGTGAGAACGAAGTTTATATTTATCACCTGGATAGGAAGCGAAGTGAAGATTATGAGGAAAGCGAAATTATCGGTTCATGTCAGTGATGTGAAAAAAATTTTACAGGTTTGTTGGATGACTTGATATATATATATATCTTTTTGATAATTTAAGCATATCTTATATTTATTCTTTTATGAAAAATTCAATTAAGGCTTATGCTATCGAAATAACTGCACATGAAAAATCCGATTTCAATGAACCAGAAATACTTAATAAGCTGAGGCGAGCAGGAGGCGCAAATTATGATCGAGGATCTCATAATTACTAATTATGCTTTAGAAAATCGTAAATATTTTTATTTATGAAGACTTACCTGTATAATAGGCGATCTATATATAGATTTCAAACAGTTCTATGGATCGAGCCAATGAAAATAATAAACTTCAAAAGAAACACTACTAAAATCACCAGGTTTATGAAGTTGGCCGCTGTTAGATTACCGGTTAGTAATTATAAAATTTCGTAGAATTTACATAGAACGCGAATCAAAAGATTTCAAAAATTTATTTTATTTCTTGATTTTTAATACGCAAAATCAAGCAAGTAAAAATCTAAATTTTTTCAAGCGCAACACTTCTTTCTATCGTTTTTAGAGCTTATTTTAAGCTCGTAAATAACGATGTTAGTCCAACTTCTTTGCTATTGTTTAGCAGATCTTCAAATTTGACTTTTTATTGATCTCAGTCCATAGATGACTCTCTTTCCGTGTACTATATATTCAGGTGCCTAATTAATTTCGAATTTTATGCACCGTTTCGCTTCACTTTCTTTTCTCCCTTTCATTTCTTGGTGTTCTCTTCACACTTTCGCTTTGTGTCCGTGTTTTATTCGAGTTAGTTCTCTCGAATTTTTGAATCCGCATTCATTTCCTTCTCTTTCTCGTTTCCTTTCTCTCTCTTTTCTCCCTCTTGGTTGCCGATTAATATAGACACGTCGATACTCTTGATTGAATATTTTCACTGCCCTTTGAAATTATTGTCTATGAACGTGACCCGATAGCAGCAGACAAGATTTTTGAATGGAAGGGTTAATAATTGAATTGGTTCTTTTTGCTGCATGCAATCATCCTTAATCCATTTCTTTGGAATTTCTCTGCCTAGAGATGGTAATGACACTTTTAAGTATTGAGGTGATAGTTTGCACAAAAGAATAGATAATGTTTTTCGGTAATTTATTGTTGGCGCCAAAGAAAATGCAAGCTGTAAAGTTAAAAAAAGGGACCATTTTGTCTTTCTTCATATGTTTCCTTTATTTCCAAAGTTTTTTCATAAACATGGAACCCACAGGCCTCAACAAACTATCCATTAGTTTCTGTGAGAGTTTGTTTAAACAACCGAAAATTGCGATAGACATGAACAACGATTTTTACAGGCTATCATATTTTAACGATCGATCATCAATTTTGCGAATTCTCAATTTTTTTTTCCCAATAACCACCAAGAGAAAAATGGCCGTAAAGAAAGCCAAGAAAAGCGCCGAATCAATTAACTCACGTCTAGCTCTTGTCATGAAGAGTGGCAAGTATACTCTAGGCTATAAATCCACTTTAAAGACTTTACGCCAGGGAAAAGGTATAATTATTGTTTTGGACGAGAAATTAAAGGGACAGGAGCCACCTCGTTTCCGTCGTTGTTTTTGGTGGTAAAGATAGTCCCTTATAATTAATCTTTTTTCCCTTATTGAAATCTATCCATTTGATGGATGACAACTTTCCGTAATAACGCAGCAAAATTAATAATCATCTCTGGTAATTGCCCGCCGTTACGAAAACATGAACTCGAATACTATGCAATGTTGTCAAAGACAACTGTGCACCATTATTCTGGAAGTGAGTTTTATTGCTCTAAATAATTCATTTTATTTTTGATTAGTTGGATTAATTTTCAATTATTATTATCATTTAGATAATATTGATCTTGGTACAGCATGCGGCAAATACTTTCGCGTTGGTGTGTTGAGTATCACTGATCCAGGTGTGTATTATCAATAATCTAAGCATTATTAGAATCTTTGTTTTTTAATATCAACCAACTAATATCTCAAATTTCTAATTTCGCTCTACAAAATATAAAGGCGATTCTGACATTCTGTCTACTTCCAATCAATAATAAACAATGAATAGAATTAAAAAAAATTCTAGAGTTATCTATTTAAAATTGTTAAAATTGTCTTTTTTTTCTACAAGATGAATCATTAAAATCCATAAGTCCCTTGATATGATGATATATTATTTGTGAACGAAAATTTATAATAAAAATTTTAACCCAAGAAAATATAACAAAAATTCAGTCCGGTGTAACGTAGATTTTTAGATGATAATGATGATAACCTTTTATAGGAAAAACCCACAAATTTTTTTATCAATATACAAACACGTTCACCTCTCTTAGAAACACATTTTCGAGTAATGATGGGAGATAGCGGTGGTTTTTTTAAGGTATTTGATTCATGCAATCGAGTTTTGATTCAAGCATTAGAGCAAAACATGCTTAAAAGCTTTTGATTTATTAAAATATGCGTGAATTGAGAAACGAGACAGTTTATTCAATCTTGCTTTCGTTTCGTTCATTTTTTAATCTTCGGGTATTTCATTTATTTTTTGCCATGGTTTTTTTCACCCGGCGCGCAAAGGGAACTAGCCTTGAACAAGACAGTCGGTTCTCCGACAAGGAGAAAAAACTACTCAAAAGCATGAATTTTCCGGCTGAATTTAACAAAAAGGTAATTCATTGATCTCATTTGAGTGAATGGTTCCGGAATTATTCAATCTGATTCGCTTCGGCTCCAATTCTGGTTTCGATTGAAATCGAGAAAGAAATTTTTCATCGGATTTATTAATTCTTTTGATCCTCTTATTATTTTTTGTTTCGGATAAGAGAAAGAAAGAGGCGTGGCAGCAAGTGATTGAAGGAGAAAGTGATTATTTGTTATTATTCGGTGGATGAATGATGATGGTCCCATTTTTGTTCTTTTGGTATCGAGGAAACTTGCCATTTATTGAGAACAAAGGTTAATAAGTTAATTATTCATTAATAGGTTGACTTCGACAAAGTGAACATGACAGTAATCAAACCATGGATTGCCAACAAAGTAGTAGAATTACTGGGCGCGGAAGATGAAGTGGTCGTAAATTACGTGTTTGGGTTACTAGAAGAACCGGTCAGTAGTCTTTTATTAATTTTTTGAATTACAAGAAAAAGAGAACAACATCTGTCTCGTATAATTATATTATTATTATTATTATTATTTGTCAATTCAGTTTTCTATGATAATGAACTTTCCAGCATCTTTTCAAAATAAAAAAAAGAAAATTAAATGAACTTAAACACTAGATGAATCCAAACATTGATAATTAAAATCCACCAATAAAAAAATAGAACCTCGACCCACGAATGATGCAAATAAACCTAACAGGATTTTTGGAAAAGAATGCACCAATATTTGTCGCGGAACTGTGGAAATTACTGCTGTCCGCGCAAGAAGGCGTTGGTGGTATTCCTACAGTGTTTTTAGAACAGAAAATGGAAGAAATACGTAAAAAGAAGGTAAATTTTTTTTTAGTTTATTATATGCTTGCTGTTTTTACCAATGTTAATCAAATAAAAAAAAAATACACAAACAAAAGGAACAAGATGAACGGATAATGTCCGAAATAAGGAAAAGAAGGGATAAAGAAGATGAAGAGCGGGTGAGACTTCGTGATGTTCGAGAAAGAGAACGGAGAGTATGTAATTTCTATTACTCTTTAATCTTTATCTAAATTTTATTCAAATAAGATGAGAATGATTCTGTTGTTGATGTTAAATGAAATTATCAGTTTAGTTTTCGTGATGGTAGTAATGAATGAAAGGATGGTATTGTTTGGCGCTGGTTAGGCTTGATTATTGTATCAATTTTTTGTTTGGACTATTTTTTGTTCAACGATTGTTTGTCTTACAAGTCTATAATTGCAGGATCGTGAACGCGAACATGATCGAGACCGGGACCGGCACCGAGACCGTGATAGGGATAGGGATCGGGATCACGAACGTGAAAGAGACAGAGACCGAGATTCTAAATCAACATCTCGACATCACCATCATCGACACCATCACCGTCGTCGAAGTAGAAGTATAACGAGGGATGAAGAGATTCGACATCGAAGAAGTCGTAGTAACAATGATAGCCATGATAATGATTATAAAGATTCGCGAAGAAGCCCTCGCAGTAACAAAAGTGAAGACGACGAACGAGACAGAGAACATGATAGTCGACACAGTAGCAGTAACAGACGTCGCTCTCTTAAGAGGGGTCAAAGTAATGAACGTAAAAGTTCTACAGCTGATCGATCATCACCATCTTCTTCATTACCGCCGCCTCGTGAACGGGATCGGGATCGTGATGATAAAAGTAATAGAGAGACAGCGTCATCGTCACGACAAAGACATAAAAGTAGATACTCGAGGAGTCGTAGTCGAAGTCGCGATCAAAGGCGGCATGAGGAACGACGTCATTATGAATCTCGACAGCGCCGTAGTAATCAGAGTCGTAGTAGGAGTAGAGAACGTGCCGATGGAGGCATCGAACGAGATGATGAATCATTACATAAAAGTCGAAGACACTCTTCAAAGAGAGAATATAACGATACTACTAATTCTCCTAATAATGCGAAACTAAATTTATTGTTGTCACCTAATTCTCGTTCTTCACCCGAAACTGAAAGAAACAATGATCAGATTCAAAACAGTAATGAATCATCCCTTAAAAGGAAGAGAACGTCCAATAACAGTCACAGTAACAATAACAAACATAGTGATGATGATTCTAATGAAGAGCAACATACGACGACAATACCCAAGCCGCAACTATCATCATCCCGCAAGAAACTTGTCGAAGTTCCAATATTCAAGTCTAAATGGAACGACGACGACGACGATGATGACGACGACGATAATAAGGTTGACGTTAGTAATAGTAATAGAGTGGGCGCCATTAAAGATGATATCAACAATAAAGTATAGGTTAACGCTATAAATAATTTCTTTTGTCCTATTTTTGATTTTATTTTCATGATTAATAAACATAAAATTTATGTAACAATATCTTAGATGCTAATGTTTTATTGATTAATAATAATGATAATAATTACTATATATTATTATTATCTTTGATTAGAAACCCACAATAAAAAATTCAACAACGACGACGACGACATCATTGGAACAAGAACGACTCGAACAACTACTTCGTGCTCGAGTACTCGAGTCAATGAAGAACCGAAAGTAGACTTACAATGGACGAGTTTGGAGGTATCATATATAAACATTTTCATAAATGGAATGTGTGGGATGCATAGACTACACCATATTAATAGAATGCATGATTAAAAAAACCAATTTTTTGAACAATTTTCACGGTGGAAAGATCATATTAACAACAAAAAGAAAAAGAGCAAAAGATTTATATCATAAAATAATAATATCAAAATAATGCTAATACTTAAAGTTCGATTCTCTATATTACATTTACTGCTATTTTACATTACATGCATGGATTGATGGTTAATTAATTAATGAATTAATTAGCACTAGCACATTAAAATACAAATCCAAAAAAACAGTATTTTACTGTTATTATTTATAACGTTTATACGTACCCGCCCCACCCAATTTTTCCATTTGAAATACTTGTAATAATTGATTCAAGGGACCCTGTCGATATTCTAGGTATCTGCTAGAAATAATAATCAATACGATCGCGGTGAGAAATGATGATGACAATTGTGAGAAAAAGGAGATGTGATGTCGTTTTTGTGGGTCTACGTGGGATAGATGATAATTTTTTGATTTTGAAATTGGTGATTTTCTTGATATGGCCATTGTTCGTGCAGAAGTTGAGTTGTCCTTGTTGATGAGGTTTTTCAAAATTGACTTTGATGTGTCGAATAAAAAAATTTTGGTTATTTCATGAAGACACGACAGCCATATTAATCAACAGCAATGTTATTCACCTGATTTGATGATGACGAGTTCAACACATCTTGTTGAGAAGTTGAGGTGATAGCAGTCGTAAATGACAAATTATATTTTTGTTCAGTGAGTTCTACATTTTGTACATTACCAAAGAAATCGGTCACCAAAACCTAAACGAAAAAATCGAAAATTAATTATTCAATCATCGGAAAACAAAAAACAAACAAACTAATGTGTATTCTACCTTATCTAAAGGACGTCGAAACAAATCACTTCTAACACCCGGCGTAGAATGAATTAAGTTCGGATCATACGAGTCAAATAAATCTTTAAGCGTGGATTTACTTTGCATATCGATTTTCTCCAAGAACTCAAGATTGTAGTATGTGAATCGATCAATTACTGCTACTCCGATGTCGGTGTCCATGTGATGCTATAATCAAACCCAAATTAATGTGCATCAAATGAAAAAAAAAAACAAGTCGGAGGAGAAATGAATTTTACCGAATAAGAATTTTCACCGAGCTCGCTGCTTCCAGTTGCTAATATATTCGGTGAGTAGATTTGACTATACATCGTATTTGCTTGACAGGTGTCAATCATGAATAATATTTCGTTGTATCTTTAAGGATTCGGTGGTGAAAGTAAGTTTTTGATCGATCGATAAAATAATCAATTACTGAATTGTTGAATTCAAAGATCAATCAATCAAAAAATAAAACGCGCGATTGAATCGAAAAATTCAGTACCTTCTCTTCTCCCACATTTGTTCAAATGCATCCGCCAAATCAAAACTACTAATCTCTTCAGCATCCTGGAACTTTAAGAACTCGTTGCCACCATGTCCAGTCATGTACACCAAGATATTTGATCGATCATCGGATAACAACCGTTTTGAACGAGGTGTATCAGGAGACACGCGACCTATGTAATAGTCATTCAATCAAATAAGCTAACCATCGGTAATAGGAAAAAAATTTTTTTTGATCAATAAACCGAATAATCTACCAGTCAGAACACGAATAAAATTCTCCACGGTAACTTCATAGCCACGATAATCAACCTCCACATTATCCCCATATAAATCCAAGTACCGCCCTGCATTATTGAATACCGTGGCGGGAAATACGTTTCGTGGATTACACGCCACATCATCCGCCAACATCAGAATAATATTAGAATCAGGAATGCCGAGACGTTTTACCGTGCGATACATCGATAGAGTGTTGGCCATGTGTCGATAGTTGAACCAGAATCGAGACGTGCATACCTTTTATGGGATGATTATATATTTATTAGTATTTACATGTTCTTTCATTTAATTATAGCCATCCTTGTTCTTTTTCTCTTAATTCGTAATCTTCGAGGTTAATTGCATCAAACAACTATCATTACCAAAACTGCCCAATTATTTGTATGTCCACTACGACTAAAAAATCCATCAACGACTTCTTGTTGATTCTGAATTTGTTGTTCTGGTTCTTCATTTGCATTTATTAATACTAAGGTAGACGCAAGCAAATATCCAAATATCAAAATAAAAAATAGCAAATTATTTTTCAACATTTTTTGGATCTCAATTTTCCAATAAATCATTTACGGTTAACTCTCGATATAGACATAGTCGATTAATTAAGCTGACACAAAGAAAGTGTCGGATCATGTGGATACATGTGAGCATCCTAACGTTTAAAATTATCGAAAATTGTGCTCAAAGTCATGAATTTTAACCTTAGCATTTTCGTGCATTTTGCAATTTGCAATATCTTAATATCCAGTGATCCATGACTAAACGAAGTGAATGGTAGTATTTTTGATAACTAAATGTCGGGATTTCACGTCCGAAAGAAAAAGCGGAATTTTAGCAAGTTACTATACATCAAATTATTTGTCATCCTGTTAATCGTAAAATGATACCACCATGCGATTCGCAGCAGCTGTGTGCATCTGAATGTCACTGTATGTTAAAATTATGTTTCTATTCTTTCAGGCCGACATTTAGTTATCAAAAATACTACCATTCACTTCGTCTAACTACGAGGAATCGAATGGTGGTATTTTGGCGCAATTTTGATCGCTGGGTGCCAAGATATTGCACTTAAAAGCGAATTACAAAATGTACAAAAATGCTAAGTTTAAAATTCGTGACTTTGGGCAAATTACTTCTTTTTCTACCAGGATATTAAAAATCTAGAAATTATTAAATTTTCAAATAATACTTTCTTTAAGCATTTGCTTTAAATATAGGAATTCTCAGATTGAAAAAAAATGATATTGCTGGTGCTTGACTATTAAAATCTGTTCTAATTCTTTAAGACATCCTGATTTTCTTCAGTCAGTTATTATAGCTAATATTATTGATTTAAGATAAGTTCATTCTTGATTTTGTTTGGAGTATCACAAAGTTCTCTTCTGGAACTTTCTTCAGGAGAATTTCCAACTTCAGGAGGTTCTTGTAATCAGTTTGGCACCCCTTGCAGACATTAGAGAGAAATTCAGCCAGTTCTTGTACCGCATTGCTTATCTGGCCTTTTTCATGATCAATCCTTCACTTTTCTAAACTTTTACTCTAAGAAATCATGATAGTAATTTGGACATAACTCACTTCAAAATTTCTTGGAGTTTTGACAGTTTTCTTTTTCCAACTGGACGGGGAAGAAGTTATCGTATTTGAGCGCATAATAATCTTCCGTCCTTTACAAAAATAACGCCACGAATCATTATTCACATGATTCTCAATAGCATGTGATCTGACAACCAAAATTTTTTAGCGTTCATTGGATTGCATGTGAGTGAGAATCAGTCAGGTGATTAACGACTACTGTATAAAGGGATCGTAATATAGAGACTCAGGATAGGAAGATTAACTCCGACCAAAAATTACCAAAAACACATTTGTTGTTTTGTCCAATCATAGTCAGCCATCAATTTTAAAATTTTTTGCAAAAAGCATTTTCTGCAGAGATATCGATATGAAGAGTATCCAGAAAAATCATATCGAGGTATTTGTTTTATTGGTTAATAAGAACAACACCACAACAACAAAATAATAATAATAACAAATTATTATATTTATTTCAAATCAGATCGATAAGAAACTATATGTTGGCCCGGTGACCAGTCTATGTTTTCACAACGATAAAGTCTTATTAGCCGGACACGGTCCATATCTGAAGGCATTTTATGTGCCAACTGGAGATTTGCTGGATAGTCTCTTGGCTTTAGAGTATTTTTGTGTGCATAGAATAGCACCAGGTTTGATTGATGCATGAGATATTTGGTTTAACAGAAATTCTTTTTTTTTAATTTATTAATTTATTTAAATTAAAATAATTCAGTAAAATATACAAATAAACAAATTTTTTATCTGAATGATCATATTGATGATGATGATGCCGATGATAAGGATCTTGTTTTACAACGTGAACATAGAACACTAGCAGTTTTTGGATCGAAATCCATAAATTTGATTGAGTTAATCGTTAATTATCCAAATGAGGCTGGCAAATGGTATTTATTTTCTTTATTTTTCTTGTTGAATTTTTTTACGCGTCAAATCTAATAAATTCATGCAATTCTATTGAGCTTGCCACAATGCACGCTGACCTTACAAAAATGTCTAACACCTTTTAGAGATTGGATTTTGGATGTGCAGTGGTTATATGATTCGATTGCTGAACAAATAGACGAAAGAATATCGGTACGAATACTCTCTTCAGCAATCAGATATTGCTAGTTCTATTAATTTCTTTATATGTATCATATAGGAAAAAAACCCTTTATCATCATCATCGTCGTCCACGTCTATCAAAAAAGAAACACCAAAAGAAATAGCAATAGCCTTTGCCCACAACTTTATCGAAATTTGGGATCACACTTCTTCCACATGTTTATATTCCGTAGAATGTCAAGAACACTGTATTCTATATTCAGCGCGATTTTTTGGTGACACGCGCGAGAATCTTGTCTTGGCTTCAGGGACCGTGTTTAATCAAGTGCATTTGTGGAACGTTATGTGTAGGGATAAAGATGGGTATGGAGTTGTGTATAAGAAACTTGTTGGACATGAGGTATTTATTTACTTTACGCGTCTTAAGAATTCACCTAATAGTTTGAATTGTTTTATGGTGATTGTTGAAAAAGTATACATTGATCGGTTCTTTTGCTAGGGTGTAATATTTGGTATAAGATTTAATAAAGATGGAACGTCTGTTGTTTCTGTATCTGATGATCGTACGATCAGGGTTTGGCGGACAGATTTAGATGACAAGTAAATATACCCTCACATAGACATAAATATCACCGTTTTTTATTTATCATTCCTTTTTTTATCAAATAGCATGAAACCTCGCGTCTTATTTGGACATATGGCGCGTATATGGGATTGTCTAATTTTTGATGATTATTTGATAAGCATTTCCGAGGTACTTTTTGTACTTTTTTTGACTATAATAATATATATATTTTTAATTTTAATTTGATAAGTTAAAATAATCATCATCTTTTTAGTAGGACACAACTTGTCGCGTTTGGCGCAATAGATTTGATGATAAGGATGAAGACGATGATGTCGATTGTTTAGCGTGTTGGGAAGGGCATGTGGGAAAAAATGTGTGGAGTGTGGCTGTTAACCCGTCAAAGAAGATTGTTGTAAAGTTTTCTTTTTCATCTTTCTGTGGATTTTTTTAAGGAATTATGCATGAGGGTGAAAAAATTTTTTTGACATGTTTTCGTAATGATTTGAATCTAAAGGCCACGGGTGGCCAAGATTCGGGTATTCGGTTGTGGTCGTTGTCTTCGGTGACTAAGAATAAAATAGGTAAATGCAGTTAAATAAATTTTTTATTTCTCAAAAATTATGTTTTATTTCTATAACTAGATATGTGTTTTTAGATTCTGAAAATGATTTGATTAAAGTTGAGTTGCCGCCCATTGAACAATATATTCAACCTTTAGCGGTCAGTAGAAATTTTGTATTCCTCGTTGTAATTAACTTACTATTTAAGGGAATTTTATCATATTTTTAATTAATTAATTTAGAGAAATAGTGATCACAAATTACCTCACACTCATGAACATGCTCGAAATTGCGTGATAGTTGATTATTCGACTATTGTAATGGCGTCAAATTATGGGTACTCTCAAATCTAATACTACATTGAGATTTGACAATCTAAGTTATGTAAATACGTTTCGAAAAAAATTAACTGAGATATATAAATAGTTATATAATACGATTCAACTATCAGAAAAATGAATGGCGTACATTATTCCACGACCCTGAATTGGCCAGCTATAATATGATGACATCATCACAGTGTGGCCGGGTTGTTTGTTGTGGGAGCATTTATGGACAATTGATAGTTTTGAGCGTGACGAATGAGTTTGAGGTTTATTTTTATATGATAATTTGGTTGTTTGTATTTGAAAATTCGATCTTATAAATTATAAAAATTGCAAAAATATAAAATAGATTATAAAACGTAAAATTCATCCGCACAAGGTGTTTGAAATATTTATAGAAGAGACTAATGGTCGGTTAGCCATAACTTTATTTTTGTTTATTTTTATTAATTTATAATTAATAATCTATTTTTATCAGACCCAAATGTTCTTTACATTATTTCTCATGCGGTTCACAACGATATTTATTTACTTGCTTTGGATCTTAATAACATTACAAAAGTAAGTTTTTTAATCGCATGTTTTTAATTCTACAATTTTGATGACTTTAATTCTTGCGCGTAATAAAAAAAATAGCCAACTTTAGAAATCCTGTACAAAATATCAGTGCCTCCATGTTTTCTGTTACTTTCGGTAGCTTTCTCTGCGCGGTATAATCTCTTGTTTTGTGGATCACGAGAAAGTGAGCTTGCTATATATCATTTATCACGATCACCGTCACCTTTTACAAAATCAGATAGAGACGGAAAAAGTTTTTTAGTATCAGACAAAGACAATAGTAATGATAACGATAATCATGAGAACAGCCATAATATCTCGACAATTTTATACCTAAGCAAAACCCACGGGAAACAAGCCATAACTTCAATTGCACTAAAAATAGGAGACGAACTCACTCCACAAAAACAAGAAGATACATTGTACGTATTTACTACTGGTCGTGATGGAGGGTACATTAAGTATCGATTAAAAGATTTATCCGCGCTTCTTTCTCAACCACAGCAACAGAAAAAAGCAAGTGAACGAGCTGATTCGTTGGGTTTAGAGATAAATAAAAGTGAAAATAATGATGATACTAAAAAATCCGGAGAAACGCTTGATCATGATTACGATGATAATTCAGATGAATACGAAGAAACATCAAAGATTAATGAAAAATCGAAAATTTTTTCTGCATCTTCTTTGAAAGAAGAGAATGTTGAAAGAGCATTGAGCATGGAACAAGTTTATCGAGCCAAAATTACGAAAGGATGGCTAGAAAAAGTGAGTGACTTTGGGAGGTTATTATAAGAAATGATTGTTTTTATAGATTTTCAAAATTATTAAAGTTTTTTTATGATCTCATTTCTGAATTCATTATTAATTATTGAAAGGTAGTTTTTGTGGATAATGAATTGCTATTATTGGGATTTTATCGGAAAAGGTTTTTTGTATATAATGAAGAGAAAAAATTTGAGGTATTCTTAATCATCAATATTGCAACAACTTGTATCAGGAAATCAATAACTTTAATCACTCATTCTTAAATCTATTAATCATGCGCACAGATGTTTTCAGTTGCATGTGGTGGTGCCCATCGTGTATGGCATTTCAGGGCCGCTGATAAACGAATGGACAAGTCGACCTTTGTGTTTATTCGTAAAGAAAAGGTGTGTATATTTATTATTTCTGATATTGTTATTTCTATTATTATTATTATTATTGATTTTGCTTATTATAATTCAAGATATATGTATATTCTCGACAAGCTTCCGCATCCAGTGAAGGATTTGACGAATGTAAATTACAAAATAATTATCATGGGCGAGAAGCTCGTGCTCTTGAATATCTACGTAAATAATTTACTAAAACAATTCAAATTGAATATAGTATTTGAAGTAATAATGAATATTTTTTCTACAATCCGGTAGCTTATCCTATAAAATTATTCGAAGGGGGAAAAGAAATCGCAAAAAAGAATCTAATTTCCCCCGTAATATTTGCTACGGGTGGCGAAGATAGTCTGTTACGGTTATTTCAATGTGAGTTTTTGCAATTAGATGGTCATGTATTTATTTCACAAATAATAATTATTTCTAAATAGATATTCCAGGCGAAAAAGAATTACGCAATCTCTGTAGTATCAAGAAACATGCATCTGCTATTCGAAGTATACAATGGAGTCAAGGAATCGAAAAAGTGTTGTTACTGTTCTCTTGTGGTGCTAGTGAGGAATTGAGATGTTGGAAAGTTGAGATGTCTTTGGCGAAAAGTGAGCAGCTGTCCAATCGACAAGAATTTCTGAAGATGGTTTCAGAGCCAGTGTGTATTAATTGTTTAGAGTGGTCGAGGTGTCCGACTATCAGGTAAATATTGATTTAATCGATAATTATTAATACATAAAATGCTTTGTTTTGTTTGAAAAAGAAAATAATTATTTGAATATTAGTGAAATCCCAGAAACGCGAATTATGGATATTTCCGTTTTCCCTATAAATTTTCAACATCGTCATCAAAATACATCTGGTTTGCATTTTGTGGCGGCTGTTTATTCTGATTCAGTATTACGAGTAGGTGTTCTTTATAACCAGCTTTAAGAATCTCATTGTCTAATTTTTTTTAAGATATCCTTATTACTTGTATTATTAGATCTGGATTTTCGATGAGACAACACGACACTTTTATTTATTAGGCGACGCGACTTTCCACAATAAATGTATCTTACAAGTCAAACATCTTGTAATAGGGGATCAGCAGAGTAAGAAGGAAGAAGAGGGTATGTATTTGTGTGTGCATAATAACTGTTTTTTTTTCTGATTGATGAAATTCATTGATTTTGAAATAGAGAATAACGAATGCGAAAATAGTGTTGAAGAAGAATGGCGGATTATTCTATTCACTTGTGCTACTGATGGCCGGTAATTATCATTATATACTTTTATCTTTTTTGCATGCATAATAAAAAGTTTTTTATTTATCTAATAGAATTGCTATATGGGATGTATCTAAATCAGTACAAAAGTAAGTGCATCTTTTGAATATTTATTTAATATAAATATTTACATAAACTTGATTTGATTTATATAACATTGCACCAGCTTCTTGAATACGTTCTCGCAGTCAACGAAAAATCCATTATCATCGTATTCATTTAATGACTTAATATCGAAATTACTACAATACAAAAAACCGCTCGACCAACCGACTATGGTCTACAAAGCGCATCAATCAGGTGTCAATTGTATGGAAGTGCGATCGGTTGGAAGAGACAAGTTTATCGTGATTACTGGTGGTGATGATAATGCTGTTGCGGTGGCGATGCTTTACACATCGAGACGTGGAAATGATTTAGTTGTTATGGATGTGTATAATATGTTGGATGCACATCCTTCGTCGATTCAAGGTGAGAAATAACTGATGATGCATGTTTTTTTGAATATAAACTAAGTTTATTATGTACATAGGCGTACATATAATCAACGACACAACTTTTGTAACTTCTTCATTGGATCAACGACTGAATGTTTGGAAGCTTGTAAAAAAGAAAATCACTCCTGACTCGAAAGAAAAAGACTATGCTTTTAAACTTGTGGCTTCGGAATTTGTTAATGTTCGTGATCCGTCTGCAATGGGTGCAACACAATATGTTTCTATCAGGTACTATTTATTTATCACGACAAATATTCATTGATCGAAAGAAAAATTTATATTATTTCTTTTATTTTAGTAGCGACAAAGATCAAGCTCACAAAGGTGAGGTTATTGCGTCTAAAACACAGATAGCAGTAACCGGAATTGGAATAGAGCTTTTTGAAATTCGAGTATGATAGTGAATATAGAAGAATTTGATGTTTTATGTGATAGACATGTAATACATATTTAACATACAATTCGAATAAGAGTAATCTCAAAAGCTTCGTAAACAATCACCTTTAAATCATAAACCGTCCGGATCGATGTCTTTTAAGTTACCCGCGGTGAAGTCTCCATCAATAGATTTTGATAATAATTAACCTTCGACAGATCCTGAACGATCTCTCAAATTAAAAAAGAACGCTGCAATGTTACGGATATAGATTAATGAATAGACCATATGAAATAATATCAAATTTTGAAAGCGAGGCATTTTTTGAATTGAAATACATATCGTCTGGGAATAAATAACCACGAGAATTATATCGATATTCAGAATAAATTCTAATGAAACAACAAATAATTCCTTTAATATTGTTATTGAGAATGATCGATAAGCATGTTTTTAAAAGATTTCTATATATTTTTACTTCGATGCTTAAGATCTTATTCATACAGTGCGGGACAGCATAAGATATCCACTTTTAACTGGCTTACAAAAAATCTTATAACTTTTAAGCAAATAATTAAAATAAAAAATCCTCTTACAAATTGATAGATCTTTAGTAAAGCTATAATTCTGTAAGAGCATTTTTTATTTTAATTTTTTATTAAGAAGTTATAACATATCAAACTTTTTAATTTTTATAATAAAGTCGGAAAATTGGCATCAACTTTACACGTGATTTTATCACGTGTTTGCGATTTTATTGGTCAGAATTAATTATATTAATTGTAATTTAGACTGGCATTGTTATAATGTCAATTTGGACTGTATGCAGTAATAATGCATACTTTTCAAAACATTCAGTAATACTATATGCTTTGAAAAGCATGCATTTTGAAGAGATTATTTTATTATACTAAGAAGAATTATTTTATTAGATTAAGATAATTATTTTATTATTGAGAGATTTATTTTATTATTTTAAGAATATCATTCTCTTATTATGCCAAGACTTTCAAAACTTAAAAGATACTAATAGAAAAGAGCATTTATAGCTTGCTTGGTCTGGCTAGCATATATGAAATTCTCTCTTATTCTTGATTTCTCTCATAATTCTTTTTCTTTTATTAATCTATCTATAGCTTACTCTCATTCCAAGAATCTAGTTAATCTATCTATGACTTATTCTCATTCTAAAAATCTAATTAATCTATTTATAGCTTACTCTCATCTCAAGAATCTAGTTAATCTTGATTCAAGTAAAGAATACTCATATATTATTACTTTTTCAAATATTTTCTCTTCTGAGAATCTTATTAATTTTGACTCAAGCAAGAAATATAAAAATACAGTCAACCTTTATAAAAGAACTCTTCATAAAGGAATAATCTCTCATAAAAAATATTATTTCATAGAACTGATGTAATTATTAGTAAATTTTTCTTTATAAAAGAACAATCTATAAAGAAATAAGAATATAATTCTGAAAAATACTTATATTATATGTACCTTCATATAAGAGTATTATATGCTATTTGACTAGTAATATTTTATTATTATTATTATATAATCATTTAGAAAAATTAATCTAACTAGAAATATAATATAATATAAAATAAAATAAAAGTAAATAGAATTAAATGTCAAAACTTCTAACTGATTATATATTAATAAAATAATTAAAAATGAGAAAGAAGATAATATAAATTAAAACTTAAAACCAAGTATATTTGGCTTTAATTCTAAGTAAAGCTTCTATAATCATGTGTTTCAAATAGTGAATTAAATTATACTTTTCTGAGTAAAACTTAATAAACAGATTACAAAACTAAAGTAAGTTTTTCTTTGAACTAGTAAAATATTTAAATTAATAATACTTATAATAGCAAAACTGCATATTTTATATCAATAATATTCTCATAAGATAAGAATTGAAAATTAGTTATTCTTACAAAAATTTAAACTATAAATAGAACAAAAATAAAAATATTTGATTACAAATTAGAATAAATTTCTTTGAAATTAAAAGATTTAATTAATTTAGCAGCTAAATCATATCTGTTCTCTTTAGTTTTTTAATATCATATTAATGCTAAGTTAAAATCTTTCAAAATACTAATATCATATTGATAAAACTTTTCAAGATTAAACTGAGCTTTATTAAATTCTAATTCTGCTATTCTTAAGTACTAATAAAATATTTCATTATTATTTTTGTTCATATCTTCATCATATTCATAATATTATTCAAGTTAAAAATGAAGATAAGAATCACTATATTAAAATAATTTTAAAAGTTCTTTAAATTCAGATTTCTTTATTCCTTTAATCTTTTTATTTTTTTTTTCATAATTAAATCTCAGAAAAAATAGAATTCTAATGTGTTCAGATTCTGCAAATTTAAAAAAATATTCTAATACTTTTGACTTATTTTCTATTATTTCTCTTTCAAACTCATAATATTTGAAAAGATTATATTATGCATAAGAATTTCCAGATTCTGCTAATTTTAAATATCACTCAAATGCTTTTTATTCATCTTTGATTATTTCTATATTATTTTTATAACAGAAAACAAAATTATTTTATATTTTAGAATGTTAAGACTCTGCTGATTTCAAATACTATTTGAATGCTTTTTGTTTCTTTTTCATTTTTATAATAATAAGCAAGATTATATTATAATATAGAGTTTCTAGATTCTGTTAATTTCAAATATCACTCAAATACTTTTTGTTTATTTTTGATTATTCCTATACTATTTTTATAATAATGAGCAAGATTATTTTGTATTATAAAATTTCTAGACTTTGCCAATTTCAAATACTATCATTATCATTTTCATAATGGATAGCAAGACTATATTATACTTGAAAATATCCAGATTCTGCTAATTTTAAATATCACTCAAATACTCTTTATTTATTTTTGATTATTTTTATATCATTTTTATAATAATAAGTAAGATTATATTATGCATCAGAATCTTCTGACTTTATTAATTTTAAATACTATTCAAATACTTTTTATTCATCTTTAATTATTCCTATTTCATTTTTATAACAGCAAATAAGATTATTTTATACTTTAGAATATTTAGATTTTGCTAATTTCAAATATTATTCAAATACTTTTTATTTATTTTTGATTATTTCTATATTATTTTTATAATAATGAGCAAGATTATTTTATGCATAAGAATTTTCAAACTCTACTAATTTTAAATATCATTCAAATATTTTTTGTTCATCTTTAATTATTCCTTTTTCATTTTCATAATACAATAACCTGCAAAAATAATATACTATTTATATTATTAATTATTAATCACCTGACTTGTCATAAAGAGAATTTACTAGATATCTATTCTTTTATTCATTATGTAATGATTAATAACAATTATTTTCCAAATAATTTTGAATATAAGTTAGAGTATGATATAATTCTTCATTTTCATACTTGTTAATACTATATAAATACTACAAGAAAATTAATACATGATTATTCTTTTATTAACACATATTTATAAGTATGTATTAGTATAGTATTTATTGAGAGTATTAGAGTACAAACTATTTAAATTTTTAGTATCATTTTTTTAGGATTTGTGAATTCTATATCAGGATTTCAGATATTATATCAGATTTATTTATATTTGATTTATATTTGTACATACAATGATGATCAAAAATAATGACTCAAAGACTAAATTTACTAATAAAACATAGTAAAAATTAAAATTTTCTCTCTATATAAAAATTTATGATTTTAATAAGAAATAATTTTTATTTTTATATTAAAATAAAGTTTATCA